CAGCTTGTTAGTGCCGTGTAAAAAATCCCGCCCATTGTGTATTCCCTCCCATCTCTGTCCTGATTGGCGAAATTATTGATGACAACGACGTTTTGACCTGAATGAGTCACGTTCGTAAAATTCCATTTCTTTTGTTGATAATTTGACGTCCTGGTTAAAGTCTTCGTTTTCGTTCCGGAAGAAGAAATCTAAAAAAGAAAAAAAAAAAAAAAACTCAAAAACAATTCTTTTGTATTCGGTTCTACAGAACAAAAGTATTTTGTATTTTAAATTTCAGTACAGACATTACGAAAGAATGATAACAAAAATGATTCTCTATAATTCTCTAATGAGAAAATATTTAGAATTTGGTGCTTAGATAACTCTTGCGTATAATAAAAATAATTGGTCATTAGAAAAAATTTATAGAATTTTATAGTTATCATCTTATTAGATAGGATTTATTGATCATTGTAAATCTTAGTTTTATATAGCCTATATAAGATACATGTCAGAAAATTTAATTGCATTAAATTACTGTAGAGTAGTTTAAATACGTGCATTTTTATGAAAATAAAAATAAAAATAATTATTTAATACAATTGAGTTTTTAATAAAAACTTAATAAGTATGCACTTAATATTTAAAATCATAAAAGGTATTTCAGTCTCTAGTAAAATTAATTAGTTTTATATAATTAAAACTACATTGATAAATAATTTATCAATTTGTTAATTATTGAATTATAGACTATTAATAAGTTAAGAGTTTTGATTTTCGTTTACAATCAAAATAAAATTTTTATAATGAATAAAATTAGATTTGCAATTTTCTAAACAATTTAACTTTTTTCTGATATAACTTTGTTAACAGAAGTAAAATTTGTATATGTAACTTATATTATTATTAAATTAGCACCCCGCCCTAATAAAATTATTTTTATAGATCTTGTGCTTTAATCAAAGCAGTTGAATTATGTAACGATTCATGATTTATTACATATATTAGTTTTCTCTAACAATTTAAATAAAAGTATATGAATTCTCAATAAATTAATTACAAAAATTATAACACTCTAATTGATTTTCGTGTGTAAACATAGTGCGCACTCGAAGTTTCACGTACTTTTTTGTGTAGTTGTAAAATATTTATTGGTCTACAATTATATCTAAAGTAAATTAGCCATAAATTTTAATGTAAAAGTCTTGTTGCATATACTTATATGCAATGTGTACTTGAACATACTCATTTTTGTAAATAACTATAAATACATTTAAATAAATAGACTATTTATAGAGAGGAACTTACATTTCTTAAGTTATTTTATTATTTTATAATGTAATTATTAGCGTGTTTAGAATATTATCCGAATATTAAAGATATTTACTTCTTATTTAAATTCTTAGAAATCAAATTGTAAAAAAAATCTAGGAATAAGAGAATTAAAATCAATTAAACACAATAGAATAAATTAATAAATATAATAAAAATCTATAATTAAATTTTATTTTTATTATAAAATATTTAAATAGTACTAATCTTATAATAATTAATCGAAAAAGAGAAATGAGGATTTTAGTACAATTTGTCATGTTAAAAATATGTAAAATTATATAAATTATTGTATAACATAAAATTATAACTCATAATTGTAAACTATTTAATTTTTAAATAATTTTCGGTTGTCTAAATTCTCGGATTTTATTATAAAATTAAAAATGTAAAGGGAGAAAAATTTATATTGTATTAAAATATGACTAGGTTGTGCTGTGAAAGACTTCGCCTCCTCTGACAGTCCGTCTGTTTATCTACCACCAATGAGACAAGGTTTCCTATCGATGTCGTTGGCCTTCAGCCAATGAAACAGTGGAACGACGCAGAAGCATAACCTTATTCGTTGCTAGTTTTTACGATTAAATTTTACCATTTCTTGTCACTAGAGGGCAGTGTTTGTATTGGAAATGGTTAAAATAAATATGATTCGAACTCTTAAAATAAAAAAATTAGTAATTATTTTTAAAATTAATTTTTAATATTTTGTATGCAAAGAATTAATTTTAAATTTTTAAAATGTTTTTTACGCTATTCAAAGAAGACCATTCTTATTCTAGAAAGATTAAAAGATTTTGAACCACTATAAAAATATTCGGCATTAAATATTATTATATAAAGATATAAAATACGTGAGTATTTTTTATCGCAGATTTCATTCGTTTACTAGAACCTGGGTTATTTCTGAATCGCATCACGGCAGCTGCTTTATTCTTACGTCTGGAACAACCTAGTCTTTCCCGCTCCCAAACGTGTGTAGCATAGCAATGAAGTGTCGGCAATGTTGAGCTTAACAAGTCGTTCAGTGGGTTGAGAGAGAGATATATATACAAGGCTAACATCAAGTCATAAAAAGAACGATAAAATCTCTTTTAATAAGTGGCGGAGAATTACACCGTGATAAATAGCCTAATAGTAAATAAAACATTAAATAATACGCAGATAAAACCATCGCTTGACACCTGTAATAAATAACGGAATATAATACTGAGTAGTCATAAAGAATCTGCTGTTACCTGTATCTACTTGCTTGACAAGTTGATCATAAGTCGAAAGTGTAGAGCACTAACGGTGTTTTTACTATGGATGATTAATTTTCACTTTTTTTTTTAATTACGGAAAATGCACTGTTGCTAGTAGCTTCTTTAAAATATTATCTGGTATAGAAAAAACAGCTCTGTCTTAGTATATATAAGTTAATATGAATACACCGTAGTAGCACTTAATCTCAATAATGTTATGTCTAATTATATTATAAATAATATAACTTAATAGTAAAGTTATGCAAACTATTTGACATTTGTATAATTATAATAGATAAATCTGTACAAGTAATGAGCACGTTTGGAAAGAGATGAGTCTAGGCCTATAACATATAACTGTTCTAAATTGCAGTATTAAGTCTATGAATTAATAATCGATGTCAATAACTTTATTTTTATTATACAGAAAAATTTAATTTTATTCATTTATGATCTATAAAAGATTAATCATTATTCATCGCAAAATTATTGCATTATTGATTCCTCTATAAAGATGATATTAAAAAATGATTTATTCTTAATATAAACATAAACANGTAAATTATAAACACTTGAATAAGTTGATAGATTAATAATATTTCTAAACTTTTATAAGAAAAGTAATAAAATTTTAAAAATTGATTTCCAAAATATAACTTATTTTATTATAAAATTAGAAATCAATGATTTATTTTCTAGTTATAATTTATTGATAAAATATCTTAAAGAAAGTTAAAAAGAAAAATTATATATCAAAGCTTTCTGCATTATTACACATTTATTTATAAAACTATAAAGAAATTTTTCATATTTTAGATATTGTTAAGGAAACATTAGCCTATATAAAATTTTATAATTTTTATATCAATAATTATTCTAGAATTAATATGATTTGACATAGTTTATTATTCAAAAAATATAAAAATTTAATATTTTATCTAATCTATAAATCTAATATAAGATTTTATGAAAATTTAAATTTATAGAGCTTTTAAGTAAATCAAAATGATTATTATAATTTTGTAAAATAAGAAATAATTAACTTTTATTTAAAAATTTTTTAAAATGATCTATTTTCTTATTAAAGTATTTTAACAAAGTTCTTAAGTAAATATAAATTATATATTATATAGGCCTATGTGATTATTAGATTGCGTAGAGTTTCTTTTGACCAATAAATTATAACTTATGTTGGATAGGCGAAATGTAACAAAATGTTAATAATATGCCAAATAGTGCTTGCCAAACAGAAGAATGATAAATTTTAGTATAATTTAGACCAGTAATAAAATTTAAATTTTATATTATAAATTTAAAATTTTATAATTTATAAAACAGAATTTTATAAGCTTATAAAATCATAAATTCAAACCTAGTGTTTTCCGTATTGTTTTTTTGTTTGTAAAAGAATTAAGCTCCTAAAACTTAAACTGCAAAACATTTTAGAATAAATTATTTATTGGTTATTTTTATTATACTTTATAATTTTCCAATAGTAACAAAATAACTTACATTTTTGTAAACTAATGCTCAATTTTAAAAAGTTATTGATATTATTACATATCATTTAAGCTATTGTTAACTGATATTAGATAATATATTAACCGAAATTGAATAAATGTTAACTATAAGTGGACGTAGATAAGGCAGTTTTGCATTAAGAAATATCAAGGTTTTTTGTCGGTACTAGAATAATGGTTGAGTGGAATGCCACCAGATGGAAGCAGTCGAGCTAAGTGGTGGCTCAAGTCCACCGATCGTGGAGCTCACCAGCTAACAGACGCCACTAGCTGACGTTCGGTGCGCTCAACAAACGGTGACGTCTGGGAGAAGTGAAGAGGGTAGTTCTAGACCTCGTGCTTGCTAGTTGTGTTGTAGTTGGGCGAAGACAACACGTTGCTTAAAGTATCGGGTTCGTGAGATCCTTCTAATATTTTTTCATGTTGTCCAATTCACTGGTTGGACTTTATTTCATTGGAAGTGCTAGCAGGCCCGAAGTCCCGATGTGTGAAGCCGTCGGTTAAGAAGGAATAGTTGTCATGGTAATTGTTGTCATTTATTTCATGTACTTAAAATGATATTCATTTGTGTGGTCTAGCTGTTTTTATGACGACAGTTAATGGTCAGTTTATGAAATAGTATGTGCCGAGAGCTCTTAATAATGGCATAATGGTTTCGAAGAGAAAACAATCTAAATTAGCGGCTGTGGGTGAAGGGATCCGAGCCCGGCATTCTGAGAGATCATGTGACACTACCGAATCTAATGGGGTCCAATGCAAAAGCGCCGCAGGTGACACGGTAGATTTGCGGTGGACCGATGAAACGTGGGTGGCGCGAACGGTCTAGGGGTAGTCGGAGATTAAAATCCGACCTTTCGATTTCCGAAAGTTTTGTGACGTCAGTAGATCACGTGATATAAACTTAGTGTTTTTTGTTTCTATGTCGTAGGTTGACGACGGAAAGCGGGGAAGCCGAGGATGATGAACGGTGCCCTATACGAGGAAACGTCGAACAGCCGTTCTAGTGTAGACGCCTTGCCTCCACCACCGCCGCCAGCAGCGAGTCAACCGGCTCTCCAGACTGGACCACTTCACATACCAGCCAAGAGAGTAACTACTACCAGCCTGGCTGTAACGTACGGGCATCCAGAGTGCGGCGGAGCCGACACCGCTGCCGGGGTCATACGGCACGGACATGGAACTCAACCGTGGGGCTACCCGGCTCCGGATAATCATCCCGCTGCTACTTTCGACAGCTATACGCAATACAACCAGACTTTGTGCAATGTGAGGGACACAATGCCACCAAGTTACTACTATAACGAACACGCGGCTGCTGCTGCAGCGCGAGTCGCAGCCGAAAGAAAACCTCCACCTTTGAAATTTTGGTCGAACACTTATGACATCCCTTCTGCCGGACCAAGTGCCGTTAATCCGGCGGACACGTGCCAGACATTTGCACCGCAGACGTGGTGTAACTACACTCCGTATTCGGGTAGAGTGCACGGTCACATGGAACCGCACGCACCGCAATCCGTCACGTATTTCACCGGGGACGATCGCGCTAGGGCACCGATGGATGGGTTTCCGCACTCCGATGGATATACACTACGTACATTTGCGGGGACAGAGACCCATGCCCCAGCGCCATACGTTCCTGCTTGTACAGGTAAGCAGTCTGTTCTCTTTTAATAAAACTTCCGAATTGTTTGCTTTACAATAGAAGGGTCTGACCAATATCGACGACACAATGGCTCACTTGACCCCTATCTTCGCCATTGTCCAGTCATTGTAATAATTTTCCTATTTTCGGCTTATCTTCACTACGAGCTATTATGTCGTCCTGTTGAATGTCTTTACGGCAATCGACAAGAAAAACTAACAATAGAAAAATCTCTCCGCAGCTAAATTGCTTAATAAGGATAACCAAGAGACAAATTTGAGTTTTGCATTAAGCTTAGCTTTAATATATAAGTCTAAATTCGAATATAAACGGAATGCAGAAAAATCATAAAAAATCATGCATATTTTGAATTAATTACTAAAAGTTTTCATTTTTATTTCCTTCGTATTCAGGTTACTGACCAGGCAGATTTTAGCTTTAATTTATTAACAATTGCAGACATATTACTAGATAGTTCTTTAGATATACAGTACATAAATTACTCCGTCTTATGCACGATATAGTCTTCATTGTTATTCTATCAAGAGATTCACCTGTCATTGTTAAGATCGTTCAAATACCATTAGAATATAAAAAGAATATTCACTTAAAAAATAAATTACTACGTAATAATAATAATTTTTTACATTGAGTATAATTCTTTGATATAGACCTGTTTACTCTTTACTGTAGGCCTGTTTATGTTAAAACTTTCATTTGAAACTTGGCTTCTATGTAAAATAAGTCATTTTAAATGATGAATAAGTCTTGATTTAAGCTATAAGTGATAATGAATATGAATTTTTCTGATAGACATTAAAGGATAATATATTAATAATTTATCATTAAAAAAATCTTTTAAATCTATTTCGCATTAAGTTGCCCTAGAGAACTGTTACCTATTTGATTGGGAGAGAATCGCTCTTACTGCACTAGCGCCAATAGGCGGTTTGTTTGTGAACTACAAGAATTCGGCAGAGTACTCCACTACTGATTTTTGTTGCTTCGACAGTAAAAAGTCGTTAAAAGGTTGTTTAATGATATATACTCTTGTATAATACAGTAATAAGGAAGGTTGTAAAATAGGCCTGAAGGCCTGCAATAAATTTCACGAACAACAATATAATAGATTTATATTTCTTTATTCCTTATGTCAAAAAAAATCTTTTCAAACATCTTTATTTTCAATAAATTCATTTAAAAATTCTTATATGCATGAAACGGCGTGTACGGTGGCATTTCTCCATCATTATAAAACATTGTGCTATAATGGACTGACTAATTAAGCGATAAAATTTTATAGAGCAATTTCTTACAAGTACTCTTATTATTTGATTCTAATTCGTTAAATGTCTGATTTTTAGAAATTGTTTCTGCTGATTATATAAATTATTTCGTTTGAAAAAAAAAGTTAAATATATATAAGGCCTATGGTTATCTAAATATAAGATATATATATATATATATTATTTTAAGAGGAAAAATATATTTTATAAAATATAAGCGAATATAAATATAATATTACTATAAGCATTGAGGTTATATAACGTTTTTTTAAAGTTTATAAATTTTTAAGTGAATTTTAACAAGAGTTAACAAAAGGTTAAAATGGAATTACCCCAAAGGAATTAAATCTATTAATGTTTAAAAAAAATTGTGATATCAGTTAGTGTTCTAAGTACGGATTAAACATTTAATTCGTCAGTTATGCAGTATTATAAAAATTTCTCTGTTTTTCGTTTAGTTTTCCTATTTTCCTCAATGATTCGTAACAGCAGTTGCTCGTAACTTAATGGCCTTGTTTTTAGATTATTACAAATGTTTTGCTTCTAGTTACCATTCACTGTCAGATGTAGAACATCACCAATTCCGCACTGATACGCATTTTTTAAACGTCTGTTAATAGTTAGCCCAATTTAGTGAAATTTAAAAATTTTTTTTATGACTAAAAAATATAAAAGATATTCCGCCAGGTGTCTCTCAAAGTATGTTCACTGGTTGGTATTTCACTATTCGGTAAAATTGTAAAAAGCTCGTGACGGTTGCGTGAAGCTAGCGAGCCTGTCTTCCGCAACTCATAAAATCTCCACCTCAGGGGAGGAAACGAAACTAGGCAGCTTTACAACCCCCTACCATTGGGGAAAACAGGATCAGACGGAAACGCACCTTTGTAGACCCTGCAGGTGAGAGACAGGATACCCTAATGCTTGACAGCCCCTTTTCCCAGACCAATTGGCTGTAGTAGCGCGTCCGGATATGGTCCGGTCGACGAATACTAATTAGATACGCGGTCGGCAGAACACAGTATTGTTTAGACTTGCGGTTTTTATTCTTCTTTCTTTGTTACCATTCTTATTTCAAGAGTGTTTCTTAACAAAAAGAAAAAAAACCGTCTTTAGATAAAAGATATTCACCGCACAAGTTTAGAGAAAGAAATCTCTGTTAGTAATTTTATATGCGGGACAACATACATTTGTCAATCTGATGAACTGTTTACTGCATAAAATAGTGTTTTAAAAAATGCCCTAGGCCCGCAGCCGTGTAGAGAAAATGCAAGTTATTCCAGACTATTTGTATCTCATATATAACGTTAATACATAAAAAAAATTAAATTTTATATTGGATGGCACCAGAAGTTGCTGCAGTTGAAAGGAAGGGTGGTTATAATCAACAATGTGATATCTGGGCTGTTGGAATTACAGCAATAGAGTTAGCAGAACTTCAACCACCAATGTTTGATTTACATCCAATGAGAGTGCTTTTTCTTATGTCAAAATCAAACTTTAAGCCTCCACAACTGAGAGATAAATTTAAATGGTAATAGATATATTATAATTCTTTTTAAATTTATATATATAAAAATATATATATTTCATCATCATATATATATATATATATAGAAGATGAAATATATCTTACATCCAAACTATTAAATATAAAATGTAGTAAACTTCTCATCAACTGAGTAATGCCAGATGTCAATCATTCAAACTTCTAATTTGATAAATAAGACACTTTTCACAATACTACTGACTGTATATCTTCAATTCTAAGATGTCCTTGATTGTAAGATGCTCTATTGATTTAAAATTGAATACATTTTATAAATTTATTTCTTATGTAACAGATCTACAAAATATAAACCAAATCATGAATATAATATATTCTTATTAGGTCTGGTTTATATTTTGAATCTGGATTATTCAAAATTCTGAAATAAGTTAATCTATTACTATTATTNGGTTATTTTAAATATATTATGCCAAAATGTTTATTTTTATGATATTTAAATTTTTATATAAAATACAGGCGTGAATCTATAAAGAATATAAGATAAATAGGACAAGCTAGTATAATTTAGCTCTAAATCTACGCATAAATTATATCTTATCTCAAATAAAAATAACTACAGATAAATATCATTCGTATGTTAGACTTGTATATTGTAATATATATATTTAAAAAAATAATCCGTTAAGGCGATAAAGAATTCATTAAAATTTCTGTCCATAAACACTCCTTTATAGAAATTAAAAATAAATTAATTGTCTATTGTTTTACTGGAATAATTTATGATAATCGAAAGCGTTTTCACTAGAGAATAATCAATTATCTCGATTGAAAAAGCTAGCGAAGTATTCAATCAGTACATTTAGAGTAGGCTACTTAAGCTAGTCTACAATTAGTTTTTTGGCAAAATATCAAAGGATTTTTGCGTGAAAACTCATACAAAATAAAAAAAAGAAAACAAGAATTTCTGAAAAGTTCTCAAATGTTCTATTAACCTATTTCACTTTTCTCTAAAATTAAAAATTTTGAATTTTAATTAACTTAAGATTATTTTTTTTATTAAAAAGGAAACAAACAATTTCCACCATTGTCGTCTATGTTCTATATATTAAGAAACGTACTGTACAATCGAATCGTTTAAAAGTTTGGCCTTGAAAAATTTCCAACAAGGACAAGAACAACAAGGAAGGATTTGTCGAATTTAAGATGGCATAAATGAGGACGACAAATATTATAAAATATATCTTAAAACAATTTAAACCGACACGGATTTGATGGATACAACTTAAAACAACTTGTAAGAATGTTTTGTTTAGTAATATTTTCTAAACCAAAATATCGTTTTTAATGCAATTTTTAACCTTCAGTTAAAAGCAATTTAATCAAAAACGAAGATCGGAATAATGAATAGAATATTGAATATATTAATTTATAATTAAAGGATATATTATAAATTTAAATAAGGTGAAAATGCGTATGTTTCGTTTTGTTTCTACCAGGTTAATTCATGAAAATGTAAAGCTGCTTTTATACCTTCAACAACTCCAGTAGCTATAAAGAACATATAACTATTTAATGAAGCAAGATTATTATAAGTACGATGTTCTTAATGTGCCATTTAGGCCTATCTGACAAGAATAACAATAAAACAAAACAAATAAATCTAGAATGACAGCAGTTTTATTAACAATAAATTGTCCATTTAAGAATAATAATGTCGTTAACACTTAAATACTGTAATATGACACTTAAACTATTTTAATGGTTCAATTGAGAGGGAAATTATTATGCTGACAGCATTCGATATCAAACATTTTCACACACATAATATTTTAACTCTAGGTCTACTGTTAACATGAATAAAAATTCTTATATAATAATCACGAACAAGAGAAACTTGCCGTGATTATGCAATTTTATGGCTTTTCGATTTATATGTAAAGCGAATGCTTTATCGATGTATAGTAAATGCATTAAGCTATCAAATCTTTAAATCGTGGATAATTATTATTCAGATAAAGTTAAAGATAAAATACTTTTTATAATATATTTAATATTATTTAGTTTTGATAGTTTGTAGCATGATGAAATATGAAAAGATTTCTTCATCGTAAATAATATAGTCAGATTTTTTTTAGTAACTCATTTAGAGCTCCACACCTATGTCTAGACTTAGTAAATTTTTATAAGTAAAATTTAGGACTATGCAATTATTTTTTATATAGTTTCTTCAATAATCGATTTATGGATATATCATTATGTATAAAATTTTATGTCTTTTATCAATAAGATTTTAAGACCAGTTTATTTAATGGATAATTATTTACTTAGTAAATCGTAAGAGCTGGGTAAGCACGATAGCTTAAATATATTCAGTAAATATATTTTTACTGAATTATTCTACACTTAGTCTATACCTTGACTTATATTTTAAATTTTTTTAAGAATATTTTGTCACTAAAAGGTAAATTATAAACACTTGAATAAGTTGATAGATTAATAATATTTCTAAACTTTTATAAGAAAAGTAATAAAATTTTAAAAATTGATTTCCAAAATATAACTTATTTTATTATAAAATTAGAAATCAATGATTTATTTTCTAGTTATAATTTATTGATAAAATATCTTAAAGAAAGTTAAAAAGAAAAATTATATATCAAAGCTTTCTGCATTATTACACATTTATTTATAAAACTATAAAGAAATTTTTCATATTTTAGATATTGTTAAGGAAACATTAGCCTATATAAAATTTTATAATTTTTATATCAATAATTATTCTAGAATTAATATGATTTGACATAGTTTATTATTCAAAAAATATAAAAATTTAATATTTTATCTAATCTATAAATCTAATATAAGATTTTATGAAAATTTAAATTTATAGAGCNATAGAATATATAGTTACACAAGTATTATCTATAATCTATTATATAAGTTAATATGAATACACCGTAGTAGCACTTAATCTCAATAATGTTATGTCTAATTATATTATAAATAATATAACTTAATAGTAAAGTTATGCAAACTATTTGACATTTGTATAATTATAATAGATAAATCTGTACAAGTAATGAGCACGTTTGGAAAGAGATGAGTCTAGGCCTATAACATATAACTGTTCTAAATTGCAGTATTAAGTCTATGAATTAATAATCGATGTCAATAACTTTATTTTTATTATACAGAAAAATTTAATTTTATTCATTTATGATCTATAAAAGATTAAT